ATGTACCTACTTAACGTCAAAACTGATATATAAGTTATTTGGTCGATTATTTTAATAGATTATAAAATCATGTTTAAGAAATCATTTTGAATTTCGGAACTATTGGGCTCAAACTATAACTATACTATCGCAACGTCGAATGCGAATAATATGTCATAAAAACACTTTGACATTACTATTCTATTTTTTTTTTTTTTAGGCAATTGTTTCAACATAACTGTTTTTAGAATTACTTTTGAAGACGATGAAATACTATTTTTCACTTGCATTTTTAATGACACTTTTATTTTCAGACACACTACATCAGTGAAAATCAAAATTCGTTTATTCAAATTTAGAGCAATTTTCTAAAAAAAATTAATTGATTTTAACAAAAAAAAAAAAATAATAATAATAATAATAATAATAAATAAAATTAAATAAAATAATGCTTAACTTTTCCGACTCGCATTGAATAATCAAATGTTTTCTTACATTTTTTAATGTGAAAGTCCTGTTGTTTATCAATATTATTTTATAAGCAGATAAAGAATGCGCAATATCTACGGACGTATTAGGTGTGTATTTAAAATAAACAGTTTCGCCGCTGGAGTAGTCATAGGGAAATTCGTTGAAATCGGTTAGCTCACTGCGATCTTTATCGTCAGGTATTTTTGACATTTTCTCTGGTACTTCAAGTCCATTATTTTCTTTAAAAACAGTTTTTAAGAATTGGGAATCATTAATAGGAGAAAAATTATTTTTGTTCTAGCTTTACCGCGAACGAAAACAATAAAAAAAAAGAACAGAGATTAACTAAAATGTCCAGGTTTTTTTTTTTAGTATCATAATGAGGTACGAAAAAAGCAGAAACGACCAGAAAAATTAGAAAAAGCAATTTGTTTAAAATCAATCGAAATTAGTTTAAAAAAAAAAAAAAAAACTTTTAAATTTCATATTTGAGATGCAGTTTGCTAAACATCATGTTAAACAAAAAAAATATAAGTAAAATATAAGAAGTCCCTATAACTTTTTATAACGAATCAAACTATTATTGTGATATGGGTCATAATAATGGGTGGTGAATATTTTAACTGGGCTTATTATTATTGTTATATACGTGTGTATTATATCCATATCATATCACTTGGACGTTACACACGAATGCTGTCCGGCGCGCGCAAAAATTTTTTTTCCTCACAATTATCGTCTGCGTACAAAAAACATTGATTCACCTAACGCATTATCCGTATTCGAGATTATTTATGCCGTTTATCGGTTGAACAATTTCGACAGTAATAATGTTACCCAGATAATGTGTACACAGCTCGTTTCCTAGCGGTCGAGTTCAGTCATACGTGTCGGTTCGCATCGATGTTTTTCTTTCCCTTTCTCCCGTTGTCTCGTCGTAAAGTATCATCAGTACGGACGATATACAACAATGTATAAAAAAAACGAAAATATTTATATCACCATTATTATTGTACTACAGTTGTACCGCGTCGAACGTCCCAGTGTTTAGAGTTAATATCGCACAAGATAAATGTAACACGGAATATCGGTCAAACAATTGTTGTTCCCTTTCTGCGATACAGATGCACGGTGGAGAAAACAAGCCGGGGAGTTGATCGCCAGAGTCACGACACGTTTTGTATTATTATAATTGTTGTTGCGTCGGACGGGCGGTGCAGTAATAAATTAACGAAGTACCTTACCTTACTACCCGTGAGCTGTTGAACGCGCGTGTACGACGATGCACCCGGTGCTGTTTCGTCGACCAGGAAAATAATCGTTTCGTGAAAAGAAATATTTTTTTTTTCACTGTATCACCAACATACGACGCCGTTGTGCGCGAAAATTACCGGCGCAACGCGGCTTATAAAATCGTGACGAGAAGTTTCGTTGCGCGCCCGTCCCGGCGAAAAACGTATATTTTTTTAGAAGCCGTACGCGTATGTTTTAATTGATTTCGTTCGCTAGAGTGTTATCAATCATCGCCGCGTGACCGACGCACAGCGACTCGAAGCCGAACATCACAAATTATGGACCGGAGCGCTCGTCACACGGCAATCAGTTGCTCTGTAAAATTATATGATTTATAACTTACACCGACGACAATCGTTGTCGGTAAGTACCCGTTTCATCGATTCCGATTTGGTTTGTTTTGTGCGTCCACGCGTTGCGCACGAGAAATATTACGTCGTCCGCGGCCCCCACGACCAGGGCCGGCTCAAGGTATAGGCGAGCTAGGCACCTGTCTAGAGCGGCACTTTAGTACGGGTGGCATTTTCTAAATTGAATTTTACGTTTTTTTACGTTTTTTTTTTTGGTTCTATCGAAAAATGACCCGTATCAGCTCGGGAAACAGTAAATTTAAATATATTGCAATTTCTTTAGGCATATTTCCAATTCGGTTTTTTCCAATAATCTGCTTGATGCATTAACCGTTTTTATAACTAAAAAAAAATCTATCCGACGTTACATTTGTGAGTCATAAATCCATGTATTTCTTAAAAGTATCATATAACTCCACTTTATTAGTAAATGATCGTGAAGAATTTGTTTTTGAGTAGAGAAGTTTAATGTGTATATATATTTCACTAATGAATATTACATATATCGTAATAAATGAACGGAGAATGAATAGCCAATATATACAAAACAATTTTATCTCACTCACCTTTTTATTGAATATTGAATATCAGGAGCTTCGTCAATGAATTTTTTATATCGTTTAAAGTCAAGACTTTGAAATTTTTACTTTTAATCCACTCGATTTTCTCTTTAAAAAAACGTTAGTATTATGTTTCATATTTTTCATGCTTTTAAGCATTAAATAAATAGACCATAGAGTTGACGGTTTAATTTCTGTAGATTTTTTTTTAAAATTTGTAAGAAACACATTTTCCGACAACGATTTGGTTTTATTTAGTTTTCTCATTTTTAAAATTTTCAAGCCATTGTATATCTTTCTTTTGATTTTTCAGGCAATAAATTTAGTGAAACAGCATTTACAGTTTTAACCATGTATGGTAAAGTTAATATTTCACTACAATTACTGTATTGATTGTAATTTTTCGTATTTATGCTTATTTGTGCGCTTCACAGTCAAACCATCACTGGTTTGATTGTTTGATGCAACATTTAGCACAAAGGATTTTAATTGATTTTTATTTGATACGTAATATAATATACTGTATAAAATGGTTAAAAGAGAATTAACATGGTTTATTTGATAAGAAAAAATAAATAACCAGAGTTGTGCATTATCTTGATAAAAACATTAATCTTTTTATCTTATTAAGATAATAATAATTTGAAGTATCTTTTTATCCATCATTTTAAATAAAATGGTTATCTAAGATAAATTATCTAGATAATTTTGAAAAAGAAATTTTTTTTTTATGGGAAGTGAAACGAGGAATAATCAACACTTAGTATTACCGTATGTACGTTTTAAATTTTAAACATACATATTCTGTAAACGAAAAAAAAATATTGTATAATTATTTACACAGAAAACATATAATAATGAGCGTATTTCAAATAATACCATTCAATTTTATACCGTTTAACTTTTTTTTCTGTATTATCGACAACTGGGCGATACCCGCTACCCAATGCTTACGCCCGGAATTTAATATACGTATACCTTATAGCTAATACTATACTCATATAATAATAATTATTGACAATAATTGTGTGAACAATTGGACATAAAACGTCAATATTTGGCTGGAACGTTCCATAAATAACGATATATAAACTTAGGTTAAAGTAATAAATAATAATAAAGCCAACCAATAACCACCGAATAGTGGCCACGGCTATAAAGTATCAGTATATATAAATCTTAAATCGTGTTAGTAAATACTGAGAATAGTAACAAGGTAACAGTAACCACTTATTAGTTGTTGGTAAATACATACGGTTAAATAAAATAAATATACCGATTTATATGGAATAGTTTTAGAAATGTTAAGAATGCTGAGAGTTTTTAAACATTTTACTGAACAATTATATATATATTATTTTACTTGTATCGAACTATTTTTAAGAACATACTATTCATATTATATAATAAATACGACGTTTTATTTTTTTTTATTTTTTTTTTACATTTGATATACAATTTATTCAGGATCACTTAAACAAAAATAATTATTTTAATATTGTTGTGTACATATTTATTTTTATAAAACTTAAATCGAAATGTAGATTTGGTTTATTATTTGGGTTAATGATTGTTTTATAGTTTTGTATTAGAAATGGGTTAACAACCTGGCTATTGTTATAGATAGGTATACATGAGACTCATTTCCATTGGTATTTATATTAAGCGGGTCCTAATTACATCCAGTTTCCGGGTAGGAAAACAGCACGCGCCTGACGGTAGGTAACAAATAATACGTGTATGGCGCGCTACGTATTCCCCGTATACATGCCGTATCATGGGCGTGATTCGGGAAAACTTTATTATGGTCCCTGTGCAGCGATCGAATCGCACACGCCTGCCCGTAGAAATTTTACTGGCGGCTTTTGTTTTTCCATCGCAACCGGTAAACACGTTGGAACCAAGAAAATTACCGTTGACGGTTACACGTATCTAAATCAATGATCCGACCACGTTATAGCAACTTCTCCGTAGAAATTGTGATTGGCGTCCGAAGCATAGGATGAGGTGACCAGGTTTTTTTTTTTTTTTTCGAAATAACAAGACCCTTTTCACTCGTTTATCATTGTACACTTTATTTAATTTTATTCGAACACGTGTTACGAAAATGTACGAAAAATACGTGACACAAAGAGCTGTCCCGTGTTTGGAGACAGCCGACGACCTCGTACGTCATGTTTTGTGTGTACGCGGGTGTGCGTTACCTTATCGCTACACAGGTCCCGTTCAATATTTATCACTCGTCCCAACTGCTATCGGTCATTACGATTGTTTTGCAATACGTTTTAAATGTGATCTGATATGCGATGGCTTGTTAATCGCACACGGTGTTCAATGTGTTTGGCAGATTCTCACGCTGGTCAAGACGTGCGAGCCGGTGGCCGAAATGCGGACGTGCCGATCGCCGAGGGACTGGTCGCTGTTGGCACTGCAGAACGTGCGCACCGGGAAATCACATTACCTGGTCATCTGCCGGTGTCCGCACACGAGTCTGTTGGGTAACTATCAGAAAACGACGCGTGCGCAAGCGCGGTTTCGTGGGGGCGGGGGGAGGCGCACGACCGTCTCGGGGACGAAAAGGAAACCGTCCGCCAGCCCGTACCGATAAAGGATCCGGTTCCGCTCCCTCCCCGGCGCGCGTTCTCGTCCCGTCGTCGTTTCGATTCGTCTCGCACGCGTGCACCCGCCGAATAAACGCGTCGCGATTTTTACAATCTCCTCCTCGCTCGCGCGCACCGTCTCCCGGAAACGAACGCGTTTCGAAATCCATCGGCCGACCGCCGCCTCGAGGGGCCTACACACGTTCAGCCTTCGGTTCAAACTTAACTCAGGCCAAGTGCGTTCGGGTAAGTTCGTGATTCGCTACACGGTACTCGTAGGTTTTCAACGTATTGTTCGTTCACGTACACACGTGATGATCGTTCGGGCGAGTTCAAACAAATCAAGAAGTTCATACCGCGCCCAGGACCGAACGAGCCTTCAGTTGTTGTACGCATGCGTTAGGACCCGGTCGAACGGCCAGACCCGTTCGGTCGAGTCTTAAACGAAAACTGAACGTGTGTAGGGCGGCGCTTTACAGCACGCGCGCGTGCGAGCCGTTCGCGCCGATCCGTCGAGAGTCGGTTTTCCCGACGAGCCACTCGCGAACCCATCACGAGTCGGTATTGTGTCGCGGTACGTTCGGCTCGCGCGTGCACACGCGGTTTCCATTAGCGGGGGCGCGAATTTCGACGCGTTCGTCCGACCGGGCGCCCTTTGAAAAAACTCAAAAAAACGACGACGTATCGTCTTCCACCGGTTCGCGCACGAACGCCGTGTCCGACGCCGCGATCCGCGTACCGTTCATGTCCGCGAATCGTTTTTGCCCCTTTTCCCTCTCGTTTTTAACCGATCGTCTTTCCCCCGCAGAGGGACCGATGAGCCACGACCAACCGACGTACGCGAGCGTGCCCGGCATCCGGGTGTACGGCATGATGTGCGTGACGAGAAACGGACAGCAGTCGACGGCCGCGCCGCCGCCGGCGCACTCCAGCTCAGCGCCGATGACCAAACGACGGGCCAGACCGTTGAGGACCCCCCGATCGTCGGGCGCCCACTTCGGCCGGTCGTTCGCAAGTAAGTGATCAACGTGGCAATGTGGGTAATCGAGAGGCAGCCGCTTCGTGGCGGGGAGATGTACAGGGGCGTATTAAGACTTGCTTTTAGGGGTAGTAGGGGGCGAGTCAAATTCTCACTCAAAATGTAAAACTTGAACTGTTGGTAATATTTAAATCGGCCAAATCCTTAATAACCTGCGTTGTGAATGTTACGCTTGGGTTTTATTGATTTTTCACTAAACATGGGACCCGACAAAAATTCCAGTTCAGCGTTCGCAGCAACGTGTAATTTGATTTCGTTATCAAATAGATCCACATGAAAAACATTTGAAATGTGTACCTCGCATACAGAGGTGGATTTATCTTTTTAACGACTGTAGGCACCAACAATTTGCCGCCCCTGTATAGGCGAAGAAGTTATAGTACCCCTTCCGAAACACCTAATCTAAATATTAAATATACAAACGTACGAACATTCGTTTGAATTTTTAGACTATTTTTTTCTCTTTAATTAATTAGTCTACTTTGAAAAAATGCCATTGGCTGTTCCCCAAATTTTAATAAAAACAGATTTTCATAATAACAGCGTAGGATTATTAGCATACATTCGAATTAGTAGTATAGCGTGGCAGTGGGGATATTTATTTTTCCCCGAAATTCTGACAATAACATATTAACGAAATGCACCCATTATTATACAATTATTTTTCGTAAATATAAAGTAAATAATTTTCCAATTTTTTTTGGCATACGTTAAATGTTTTCTAATAAAACATTACAGAATTAGCCGCCCCTAAACTTTGCCGCCCTAGGCAGATGCCTACAGTGCCTAATGGGAAATCCGCCTCTGCTCACATACGATCAATTCCTTAAATACGGATTCGGGGGGAGCGATCGCCCCTTCCCCCCCCCTCTCATAAAACGCGTCACTGGAGTGGATGCATATCGACGAGATATACTCGCCTCCGAAAATGTTCGGGTTCGCCACGCCGCCGGCGTAATTATTGCTCGCCATGATCGTGTTTCTCATCGCAGTCGACACATATTTTTGCAGGCCAATCGTTGCCGCCGTTCCCGTGGGGCAGAGCCATGCAGTTCATCAAATCCGTGCAAGCGGAAGAGTCACTGAAAAGCAAACGTTCTTGAACGACTCGTCGTCGAACATCAAATACGGATTAAGAAATTAAAATTAAATTAGCAACTGTAGGTAGACGCATAGGTGATATTCAAATGTAACAAAGCCGCTCAACCGTTTTCTTTTACCCAAAAAAATTTGTATTCTTTTGTTTTTTTTTTCTTTTATTACTTACGATAATTATACAAGCACAGACAACGATATATTTTTATGAATAAGTTATATATACATATATATGTATATATATATATATATATATTTTTATATAACAAGGTGCTTTGTGCGTTTCAAATGTTCTATTGTACATATCACAGGCTATATTTTAATTTATTTATTATTTATTTAAATTATTTTTTAATCTAGTTATTTATTTAATTTTATTCATTAGAACATTTTATTATTTAGAATTATTTATTATCATTATCAGAAAACTTTTTTTTAATAAATACAAAGTTAAGTATAATTTTGAGTTGTGACTTTGAATTTTATATTATAAGTATTATTGAAAAATAATTATATCAAGACATTGAATGTAAATGTATGTTTATTCTAGTTCAAGAAGTATAAAAAATTAGTTAAATGGTTGTTATTATTTATATTATATACATGTTTGCAAAGATGACAATAACTAAAATGTTATTTCTTAGACTTTTTAGACTTTTTATTTTTCTTCTTTTTACTCTTTTTCTTATGTTTATGTCCAGAATTATTTGCAACTGTTTTATCTGGACTTTTATGCCTACTTTTACTTCGGCTCTTACTCTCTGAAATACTTCTACTTTTCGAACGACTTCTACTTCTTGAATGACTTTGACTCTTTGAATTTCTAATTTTTGAACGACTTCTACTCTTAGACCTACTATAGGTTTTGTCACAACTTTGGCTACGACTATGACTTCTAGGGCTTCTACTCGAATAAGATCGCCTTCGTTTTCTGCTTCTACTGCGGCTTCGACTTCTGTCGTTTTCAACTTTTTTACTAAGCTTCTGAAAGTATTTATGATACTTATGTCCATAACTAATTAACTGCATTGGATCAAACATAGGTGGCATAAAGTATCCACCTCGACCTATGTACTGATGTGTGCCTTTAGCACGATTTCCACGCCAATTTCCTCGACCTCTACCACGATAGTTAGCATTCTGGTCATTACTAAGATTACGATTTTCAGAATCATCAATTGGATTAACAGAATCTGAAAAAATTAAATTAAATAAGTAATGCTTCATTATTAATTAGTAATATGCTAAATATTATGTGAAGATGTACTGATAATATAATAAATTATTGCAATACATAATTTTAGAACAGTCATTTTAGTGTAAGATAGTTGAATATGATCGAGAAATAAATATTTATAAAATTTTGAGTACAGAGTAACTAACAAATAATTTTACTAGTCATCATTTATGTCTCAAATCGATATAATAAAATGAAAAGCACTATATTAAATTCCTTTATTTGATAACATATCCTTTAATATTTGCAAAATTTTTTGTGTTTAAATGAAAAAAATCAAAAAATCTTTATTGGTTAGTGTTAACTATGTGATTTATTTTTAATTAATTCTCAATTTAAAAATATACAGCATATTATTTTATTGAAAATAATTAATAGATATTATTTTAAAGAAGAAAATTTGAATTATGAAATATATATAATTGCATAATATATTTTATTCATCATTCATATCAGGTCAAGTTTCCTCTTCTTAAGCAATTTAACATGATTAAATAAATTTTGTTAGCAATTTTAATTTTATTTCCTAAGCATATTACATTAGTATTTATACTTCATTTTACAGAATTTTATTGTAATTTCATAATTCCTATAACTATTATTATATTTATTTTTAAATTTATTTCAATTAATAATATAATTTACTTTTAAACATTTTGGGCTGATAAGGTTTCCATTTTTCTATCATTCTTTGTCTAAAAGTTGACTCAATATCTCCAAATTGAATTTTCTAAAATGAATAAGAATTATATTAATCATTATTTACTAATAATAAATATTTAATAACCTTACATTTGTATTACTGTTGTTTATCTCAGATTTATCTTTCATATTATTTTTGGAAATAATGTTCAACTAAAATACATAAAAATTAGAACATATTTGAAAAAAAAATATTTTATTGATTTTTAATGTTAAATACTTTGATTCTTGTAAACAATTCTCCTAGTAAATGTATAGCTTCAAGTTTTCTTTGAGTTTTTAATAAAAGTATTTCTTCAGTTGCAATTCTTTGGTTCATTTCATCTGCTTCTCGATCAGCTAAACGTTTCAGACGTTTAGCTTTGCGTTTATCCTCTCGTAATTTACGTCTTTCAAGTTTCTTCTCTAATTCAAATAGCCTCTTTTTACTAAAAAAAAAAAAATTAAATTAATAAAAATAATAATAACAATATATATGTATAAAAATTTATTAATACATTTTAGTATTCATACTAAGTACACTAACTATACTTAGTACTATCTTACTTTTCTTCTTCGCGCATTTTTGTTTCTTTTTCTTTATTTATCCTCTCTGCTTCTTCTAATATTTTTTTCCTTATCATAAACCGATCACGACGCTCATGCCTTTTTGTAATTGAACTTAATGTCATATGTTTGGTTTTATCAAAATCTACTTTTATATTTGCAGTCAAAGCTTTTGTATCTGTGATGTAAGCTAATTTATTGCCCTTCAATGCATTCATTGCTTTTACGAATGCAGAATAGTCTCTAAACTGTATGTATGCATCACATATTCCAATACCATGATTAACTCTTGATGGATCAGCAGCGGGTAAATCCACACGAGCTACTTCACCAAATTCGTTGAATATTCTTTTTAAAATATTTTCACTAGGATATTTTTCACCTGGTTCTGTTAACCACTCTAGAGGAATATTTTCAATGTGTAAAGTATCAGGACGTTCACCTGGTTTCAACTCGTTCATATCTTTACTGTCACGAAAATATGAATCCCAATCATGACGAGTAGGAAAATCGGGTTTAGTTTCTATTGCGCGCACTGTCAAGAGGTGAGAAACCCCTGGAAATTTTATTCTTCTATCACACAAACGTGACAATACAGTAGACAATCTGGAACGGTCAGCTAACTCTGCATCGAACCTTAAATTGAGGTATAATAATAGGTAAAAAATATATTTTTTAATTTATTTTAAAAATACTAACTTGATAAAATCTGAAGAAGTTTTGGCAATGCAGAGATGAGAAAATTTGTCTGGATCTATCCATTCTTTTATGCGTTCCATAATCTGCCAATTGGAAACTGACATTTTGTTTTTGCCACTCAGTTGAATAGTGATCGAAATCCGTGCAGACGGTTTCAGAAATAAATGTAAACGTGGACATAATGGTATTGCGTCTGACCGATCAGTTATCGTTTCAAATATAGCCTACAATACTTTTATTTATCCTTGTGCAACACAATGTACTCAATCAAGTAATTTAGGTGGTCATACCAAAAATACATTTCAACAAAAATAAATCTGTAATTTCAACTCAACAGAACGGTTCACCAAAAAGTAATGTCTTTACCTAGTCAATGAACAAAAATCTATTTTTCAACTGACATAAAGATTTAAAAATTAAACAATTATATCAATGATCCATTACAAAATTTGAATAAAAAAACTAACATTTGATGGAATATTAAAATATCATTAAAAAATTACTGTAATATAAGAATAATACAATCATGTTTATGAAACATTTTAAAATTAAAATCATTAACAAAACAATAACAAGTATTTTTTTTTATTTTTTTTAATTTGATAGTGGATTTACTATTGTATTATAACATAAATCTTTCTATTGAAGAAAATATAGAACAAGATTGGTTTATGCTATTTAATACATAGATGCAAAGACTGTAAATATTAATTCTTCTTAAAAAAATATAAAATGTATTTCTGGATGGCCACCAAAATACTTGATACCTGATACTTTTTGAATTACAATATAAAAAATAATTTGATAAATGTAATTAATAATTAGGTTCAGAGTTAATTAAATCATATAATAGCCATGAATATGTTTTTCATAATACTTGTAACAATTAATATTTATGATCAATAGTTATTTAATTAAATGTAGTGTATTATTCAGGCATTATTTTTTATAAATATGTGGCATTTTAAAAAAAACACATTTAATATAAAATTGAGAATAAAAGTTTTACATATTAGAATACAATATTATATTAAGTATATCAGTTAAAAAATAAATGAATGAAACTCATTAATTTCTATGCATAAATCATAAACAAAAATACAATGTCAGAAAAACAACTTCAGTAAAATCTCTATTTACATTTATTAATAATAGAAAATGGTTTATTTTTCCTATTCGCATCAATGCCATCCACTAAAAAGAGATTTTACCATAAATCATTATACGCATTAACATAACAAATCGTTTTGTCACAATTAACAAATTAATGTTTAAAAATATAATTAACCTGTTTTAAGCTCATTTAAACGATTACTATTCACTGCCGAATGAAAACTAAGCAGACAATTGAAATTCAGGTTCTAATTAAATCGAATCTTTACAACACACATATAAATACACACATTTCCTAGCATAGCATTCTTACTCATGATTAATGACGCTTAAAAATCGAAATGTACTTAAACGCGAGGGTTTCCCGAACTGTACAAGACGGAACGTATTAAAAACGAACAAAACTAATTCAGTATTCGGAATATTTTAAAATACAAATCACTGTTGAACGTCGAACGTGCAACACCGATAGAATTTTAAAAAAAATCTTGATTATCGTGATACGTTATCATTGGATTCGACGTTACCAACTTGCTCACCGACCGAGCGGTAACGATATTGTTACCGCACGGTTGCTCGAGGACGTGAGTCCGGTAACCGGTCAGGTCGGGCGATTGCAGTCGGAGTTCGCAGCCGAAAACCGAATTTCCATTATCTGCATGCCGACCGAACTCGGTCGGCTCGACGAGTGTTCGGTCGCGATTTGGATGGTCGTCGTCGTGTTGTAAGCGTCAACCGGTCGAGTTGAAAATGTCGAAGAGTAAAAACGAACCCGGACACTGTCCGTTTCGAATGTCGTCGGGAAAACCAATGTTAACGTGGACATAACCGGAGACATCGTGCTGCATTAAACAATCGATCCGGTCGTAATTTAACCATCACATTCGAACAGTAGGTTTGCAGTTGGAAAACGTTAAAAGTGTTTTTCGAAAAGCTTCTGGATCGCGTTTATTCGATAATAATATTTTGACCCTCGTCGTTGAAATCACGTGCACGTTGCCGTATTGTACACGTGTTGTACGAGTCTCTCCCGTTCCGAACATCACGGTTATAATGTGCATGAAATATCGTATTGATTTTCGACTTCCGACTTGTGTACTACTAAACAATAATGTGTTTTTCGGAGGTTACCGTGTTGAAAACACTACCTGGTGGCGACGTGGGTCCAATTGACGCCCCTGTTGAAGCGGTGGTAAGTACCCTATACCGCGTTCAACGAATCGGCCATGGATTTTCATTTACCGAACGATTAGTAGTAAATTTCATATGTATTCTTAACCAATGCTCGAATTGGTGGTGCGCAGGGGGACGGAGTTCCTCTACTATTTTTTTTTTCTACGTACCCCAACTATATTTTTTCTCCGGAACGGGAGGACGCCACGTTCATCCTGATTAATGTCCAAAATAATTTTTATGTCAATTTCAATTTATGTCAATTTGAATGCGAATTTTAGGATTTATAATATCAAAACTATTTTCATAATTAAAGATTATATAGTGGTTATGATAAGGGATAACGTCGTCATCTCTGGAAAAATATAAATAGCTATGTCTGTGAATTTGGTGTATTATACTTTATACCAGTGTTTCCCAACTGGTGTTCCGGGGAACCTAAGGGTTCCGTGAGAAATTTGGGAAAATATAAATTAATTACCAATATTTTGATTTGAACATAGAACTCAATATAGAACTGAAATTGACACATTTCCCGATGTGTGGTGCGTAGTTTGTAGCTTTTCGGCGTATACAAAGACTAAAGATAAGTTTCAAAATCAACTGAACGCGGCTCCGGACTTACGAATCCAACTTTCAGGAATAACTCCAAATTTAAAAACAGTTATGAAAAGATTCCAATTTTCTCATTGAATCTATCTTAGAGATAATGAGAGATAAATATTAAATTTTTAGCTTTGATATGTACGAGTGCATTTATAATATTGTAATAGTAATAAACAAAATAAAATGTTAAAGCCGTCTTGTTTTTTTTATATTAATGACACTTTTGTGCCGGAAGTTTCCGGTAACCCACTCATTTAAGTATACAAATCATATGTCTGTATTAATATAATAGAAAAAATATTGGGGTTCCACAAAACGTTCAATCTCCTGCTAAGGTTCCGCGCGTAAAAGAAGTTGGGAAACACTGCTTTTATACATTGTACGGTTTGTTATTAATATTGGCGATCGACGATACCGGCATTTCGGAAAAAAATAAATGCCCGCACCACGACTAATTTTCAGCCGTGGTCCGCACTAAAGTGTAAAAATAGATAAAACAAAAACCAACTATATGATTATATCATTCGATTCGTGAAACTGCCTGATCGCCTACAATTATGTTAATTATTATTTTATTTTTTTATTTTCTATCGTAATATGTAGGGTGTTGGTATTGTAAAATATATTATATTTGGAATTAAAATATTTGTTTAGCTCAAATGTAGTATTCAAAATATATGTAAGGTTGGCGGAGGGTAGGAGTGAGAGACGAAGCCCCCCAAGGGTCTGTGTTTAATAATTGCGCACGTGGAACGCAGTTTTCGAATCGTTGGACTGAGCTCCTCTACTTATTTTTTCCCAATTCGAGCACTGTTCTTAACCAATATCCAATAAGAACATAAACGGTGGCAATCGCCCCTAGTAAAACATTTCACTGGTAAACGGCAAGTTGGTTATTAATAACGTTTACTTGTGATAAGAATTATTGTTAGATATAGTAAACTGTGTCGGGTATCAGTTGTCCGGTCATTACGTACACGCAGATACGAAATAGTTCTAAAAAATATAAACAAACAGACATGATAAATTTTTAAAGGGTGGGTGGATACCGAAAATGCTTGTTTTATACTCTTGCAAATAATCCTGTCGCCAAGCCAGCGAGACTATCTTCGAACAACCGTCTTCGCATGATTAAACCTTCAATACGAGTAGTAATAAGTAGTAGTAATTACATTTCCGCTAATGTCAAACTCCTCGTGTATACAACTTCGCTGTAACCAATCTTGGACGTACGGACTCCAGTTATGGGGAAATGCAAAGGAAAATCCAACTTAAACAAATTCCAATACTTTCAAAACGCCGCTCTAAGGTAATTATTAAATATTCCCCCTTACATATCAAACCGTTCGTTAAATTCAGATTTGTAATTAAAAAATAGTCCACGAAGAATCTGAATACTTTTATAGAAAATCCGTCTTTCCTAACATTAAAATCCTCTGATAAAAAATCTATTATCCTTCTTAAATGCTGGTAGTCCTCCTAGGCATTTAAGACTCAAATCGTGCTGGAATCGTTCTACAATGGTTAATAAATATATATAAATATAACAAATAAAAAAAAACATCCTAATCTAAACTACGTTCAAAATTAAAGTGCCATCACTAGGTGGCATCTATCCTCGCTATTTGTATTTATTATGTTATGTTTATATATATATATATATAATAATTATGTCAAATGATATAGATTGTATATTTCATCTTAAAATAAAAATTAAATGTGTAAACTAGGAGAAGCAAATTCATTACAGTTAACAATACGATCGTTGAAGCTGTAGCCGAATTATGAAGATAATCGAAGTGAATGTACACTCGGTTGAGGAAAAAAATTATATGAAAACGAATTCATTTTTAGCTAGTATTATAATTGTATCATTAAATTCCCCTCGCCCCTCTCTCCGCAGTTGTGGTTATATATTATGTTCAAGGGAGTAGGGAGGGGTGAAAATAAGGCTAACCCTCCCCACCCAATAGCATTTATATACATATAATATAAGATATACATACGTATTATAGAGGTATATGTATAATAATATTAACACACTTTAATATTAATGTATTAAAAAAAGATACAAATGTAATATGACTTATAAAATGTATTTTAAAATAATTATATAAAATTTGCTGTTAGGTGTTGTTGAGCCTAAATGGTACTAAATTTAAAAAACCGAATCCCAGGGGGATCCTCTATCACCCCCTTATAACGCCATTGTCTCTGTCAGATTATTGCTAATCGTCCCGTCGACGTATACCTACGTGGCGATCAACATTCCTCCCAATTGTAAACAAGTTAGACGTGTATTATTACGAAAACAGTACTGCAGATGTACCTACACACATTATAATATGTACATATAACTATTCTTACACAGTTTTATTTTTCATGAGAAATTATAAATAATTACAAAGATAACTTTGATACATTTTCTACATGCAAATAATTTTGTATAAATATCATATAAATATAAAAAAGATAATAAAGCTTAAAAGATTAATTTTCAGTTTTTCATCAGAATGTTTAATAAATCCGAATAACTTAAGCTGTACACGATTCAAATGTAATATTTTTCCATAAATTTTCACGTATACAGCGTAATTATTGATGATAATTGGCTATGGTATACTTTTTAGGTTAATTCTTTGGTATTTCTTATGACGGGTGCTAACTTATGATAATGTTTATCATAATATTAAAACAATATCGGTAGAAAGATTATAAACGCATAAAACTGTGTTTAAATATCATGAAAACATTCAAAAACCTTTTGAAAAACATATAGTAACGTGATTTAAGACAATTATTTGATTTTGTACCGAAAGTATTTTGATTAATATAATTTAATTTTTCTGACCAATCAAAAAGAAATTGGTGTTGATGACGGAAAGTGGAGGTTAATGAACGAGGATTATTTTTTCTTGTTACCCCTCCCCACCATTTACTAGTTTTTTTCTCAATTACCTCGCTTCACATGAGTATTATATACCTACATATGTAAGGCTCCCAATTGTCCGTCTATTGTAATAATAATAATAATAATAATAAGTTAATTGACACCCTTGTCAGCACAAAATAATGTACAAATCTTATATTTTTGACAAGAAACATATAACTGATACAATTAATAATTGATTAAAACAAGAAACGTATTAAATGAAAGTTAAACATAGATTCCGAAGTTTGGGTTCATTGTCAAAATCAAATTCGAAATCATCCAGGCTATTACAGGCCCGAAGCATTCGACTCTTATGTTCGTTGAAACTATACTCTTATTGTTGTGTGCGGAATGACTCATAAAATGTTTTCTTAGATCTAATGCAGAATGTGGGAACCTGCCGTCCTATTCGTTTAAAAATGTTGGGGAAAATAACAGTTGTATTGATAGTTCTAAAATTATAAGTTATATCATTGAAT